TGGGCAGGAAGGGAAAATCTAACTAGGGTTGATAACACACTTTATTTTTATGTAATTACTTTAAGACTATTTCTATTATGGCAAGTGATTCTGGCCTTCCATTTTATGATAGTGAATAAAATGATCCTTTCTACATAAATATAGTTGAGTCTTTGTCAATAAAAACATGAATAGGGCAGAGGGTAAGTAGATAAACATCAAAGTTATGAAGACAGTGCAAGAATGACAGTCACCTTGGGAGCCCTGTTTTGATGGAAAGAGTAGTGGCCATTAGCATCCACTTTAATTGAAGAATTGAGCCAGAGGTCCCAGTCATGGGACCTTGGGCAAATTACTCCAGCTTCCTGCAAAAGGTAGGCAGTGATGGGGAAAGTACCTGTTGTGCCCAACTGACTGGACCAAAGGACCAAGACAGGATGATTGGTTAACTTCAGGGGTGATGGGGTGGTGGTGAAAGGGTGGGTATATAGGCATAAGCTATTATTACCATTACCCTGTGCCCATAGGATTAATGAGCCTTCATTCTTTCTAAACCAACAGACATTTAGTCATATCTGGATTCTGAGTTTTTCAGGGCAAGGCTGACTCCTTATGGTATCACTGCGGAAAGTCTGGTGTTTCTGGTGGGGATGGGGAGGATCAATGGAAGATCTATTGATCTCCTAGGTCTCATTTGGGCTCCTCTCCACTGGCTAGGACTTGGAGTGATGTGGGGCCTCCGTATCAACCTACGCCCTCCTCCAGACCCCTCCTCTGTACTGAGTAAGATGCACACCAGGGTCTTGGGGGTGGCCTTTTGTGATGTATTGTTGCTCAAAACAGATGTTTTGCTAAACTGGGTAGGAAAAGTTGTGTAAACAGATATTCTTCTCGTGGATCTTGACTCTGGGGTTTCTGTTCTGTTCAGTGTAGTAGTTTCTCCTGGAGGAATTGGATTTCTGTAGGCGGCAGCCCATTGACCTGGGAAGTGAAGAGGAAATAGAAACCGTCAGTCAGCCATTTGCTGATCTCTGGCTTTTAGGGAAAAAACCTGCAAGATCCTGTGGGAAGAGAGAGGGTAAAGTGATTTGTCCCATTCCTGATGAGGGATCACATGGACATGGAAAGTTAATTTATAGAAAAAGGCAGTAGAAATTATTTTTTAATCAAATGAATCGTGCAGAAATACCGTCAGAGTTCTTAGGGAGACTGCAGTCAATAGGTAAAACTTACTGAGAGTGTCCTAGGTAGGGGCCAGGCTGTTTACTAAGCATTATACAATCATTATCTCATGTAACACAACAATCCCATGAGATAAATACTATATTCCCATTTCACTGGTGAGAAGCAGACTTTAAGAAGTTTATTTGGCCAAGTTCAAACAGGTTTAACTGATAAAAATCTAATTACAACCCAGTTCTGTGTCCAGAAGTGAGCTCTTAACCGCTACAATACACTGTCTCCTAGAATGTCAGGCCTGGAAGGAGCCTGAGAAATTTAGCCCAAGCCAACCCCTTCATGAATAGATCAGAAAACAAGTTCAGTGGGATTTTATTTTTTTCCAGTTTGGCCATAGGAAAAGGTTTGCGTAAAAAACTGGTAGAAAAATGGAGGAAAGGAGAGAACACATATTGGGGGGCGGGGGGTGTCTATATCTAGATTTATATTGTCATTTAACCTTCACACCACCCTATCAATTAGGTATTATTCCCATTTTACAGATAAGGAAACCAAGGCCTAGCAGTGTTAAAGCAATTTCCCCAAGGACCAAGCCTTATTAACTCTTGGTTTCAGATCTATATGATGCCAAAGTGCTTACTACAACATCAACATTTTCCAAGGCAGGCAAGAGAGGTGGATTGTGACGGGACAGGTCTAAGAGCAGGGAGGTGTTTGTCCTCAAGAGCTGTGAACAGGGAATGATGGCATGGAGGCAGTATTTGAGGAAAGGGAACTAGGTGTGGAGGACAGATTATGTGGAATTGGATCTGGCGAGTGCTACTAGGGAGCCCTCGTTACAGTGCAAGCTTTTGAAATTTTAATATCTTCCTTCCTTTGAGATGTGAGAATTTATTTAACCCTCATAATCATCCTGTGAGGAAGGCAGATTGGATATCACCTCCATTGAAGATGGAGACAAGGAAACTGAGGCTCAAAGATGCAGTTTGCCCAAATGATACAACGATTCAGTGACTCAGCAAGTATACAACCCAACTCTTCTGACCCCATTCCAGGGCTCATTCCAACATATCCCAGCTCCCTTGAAAGCATCTCTGACTTGGAATAAGCTGGCAGGAGGGCTGCTTATCTCACCTGGTAGTAATAACAATTAAGGAGGAGCAAGCAGCCCTGACCAGTGTGGCTCAGTTGGTTGGAGCATCTTCCTATATGCCAAAAGGTTGTGGGTTCGATTCCTGGTCAGGACACAAACAGAAGGCAACCAATTGATTCTCTCCCATACCCTCCCGCTCACCTTCTCTCCCCTCTCTAAAATCAATAAGCGTATCCTCAGGTGAGGATTTTTTTTTTTTTTTAAAGAAGGAGCAAGCACTGATGAGGCCTTGTTAAGGAAGAAGCCAAGAATTTCTGGGGGGGGGGGGGGCGGTGAAGGGAACAAAAGGGAGGAAGGAGAGATGGAGCTGAGGTCTTGAGCCTGAGCCATCTGGGA